ACCCTGTAAGTGAGACATTTCCAAACTCCAATTTGCTCCGCTGCTCTGCTTTGGTCTTGCAGCAACAAGCCCATGACCTCCCTGGTTGAATCTAGCCATTTGGCATGTGGTCTTCCCCCTTTTCTACCACCTTCTACCTTCCTTATTGTCTTTTCTAATGAATCATGCCTTCTCATGATGTGGTGAAAATACGACAGTCTTAGTTTAGTCATCTTGGCTTCCAGAGAGAGTTCAGGCTTATCTGTCCAAGGATCTGTTGGTTTGTTTTTTGTCCTTCCACCATATCCTCAGCACTCTTCTTTTACTATTTCAATTTCCTCATTGTTTAGGTTGAATTTATGTAGATCCTCTATGGTCGTTATAGTCATCCCTCCCCATTTGCGGACTTCGAGTCCACGGTCTTGGTCCTTCGCAGACCAGCAAGTGGAGAGAGATAAAATGGTGCATGCACTCGTGGCACACACACAGAGCCCCATGCAGGACCGCACAGCCATTCAAGCCAATGGGGGCTTGAATATTTGTGGTTTTTCATTTTTGTGGGTGGTCTGGAATGGATCCCCCACAAAAACAGAGGGGCAACTGTATTTTTCTTCTCTTTATGTTCAGCAACAAGCCTCCCTTTGCACTTTTGTCTTTAACCTTCCTTAGTAATTGCTCTAAGACTGTGATGTTTTCTGCATATCTTTGATTGTTGATATTCCTTCCTCCTCCTTCTGAATATAAAGCTACTCTTTGTATGTTATTTTCTGCATACAGGCTGAACATATAGGGAGATAAAATGCAGCCTTGCCAAACCCCTTTGCCAATTGGGAATCATTCTGTTTCTCCATATTCTGTTCTGACAGTAGTGTCCTAAGTACAGATTTCTCATCAGGACTATCAAATGTAGTGCCACTACTACATCTTTAAGAGTGTTCCATAGCTTTTCATGATCTATGCAAAGAGTTTGCTATAGTCCATAAAGCACATGCTGATTTTCTTCTGCAATTCCTTAGTGTGTTCCATTAACCATAGTATAACAATAACAATA